GGTAGGATTTCTTTATCTTAAAATATTAAAAGAGTATAAGATGTTTCCAAATAACTATAGTAGCTGAGATAATCTGATGGACATTTTAAAAATACCAGTGTAGCAATGACTTATTAGAGAAATCAGATTTATCTGGTTTGGGTGTAATTGGTCTTTTTGAGGGAAGTAGAAAATGACAGAGTCTCTAGGAATCAATAGAAAAGACATGCATAATATAGGGAGGACATTTATGGTGAATAAAAAATGCTATCAAGGCTCAGAAGCTGTAGTAGTATATTAGAAAATAGTTTAACTTGTTTCACTTAATAATAGTCTTTAGTTATAGAAGGTTCACATGAAATGGGATTCACTGGATTCATAATGTTCAATAGCCAAGATTTTTCAAACATTTCTTCTTCTCTACCATAACATCCATGGAGAAATATTTGCCCCTTCTTGTATACTATTTTATTTCCTAAATAGAACAACTTAGAAATGCTTACTAACATGTATTGTTGGATACAATATTGTCAACTTTTATCTTAAACTAGTTTTCAAGTAATTGGAGTGTTTAATAATCTAAAGAAGAGGATGCCACTAACTGTCAAGATAAAACTCTCTTTTAAACAATTTTAAAAGTCATTTTATAGAAGGAAGATGCCTTATTGAGAATATATGCTAACAATTGAATAGGCAATAACACTATGTCCTCGTATTCAAAAAGAAGACATTCTTTTCAAAGGTGAAATCTTTCTAAAGAATGAACTATGTTTATGGTTTTCTTACAAATTTAAGAGAAGAAAAAATAAATTATTACAATATGCTCATATACTCTTGCCATGAATGTGGTTTGGTTTAACAAAATGATATTTTGAATTTGATTGAAATGATCAATTTCAAAAAACAATTTAATACTTTCTTAAATATATTGTGTATTGCTCAGTGTTCTCTATGTATTCATTAAGTCATGTTCATTAATTGGATGTGTCTGCTCCATCATTAATGGTTTTAAAGTGTAAATATCCTAATTAATATGATTAAACCAGTTTTCCTGAGGTGGTTATTATCCTGACATCTCTATTTCCTTCATTTTACTTTCAGCTTTCCTGTAACTTTAAGTTTTAGGTGTGCTTTTTTTGAATAGCATGTAAGTATTTGTTGAAATTATTTTTAAATTTCATATGCTCTAGAGATCTTTTTAGTCTGGTTGTATTAAATATTATATATCTGGATTTCTTTCTACAGTAGTATTACATATACACTCTTTCCCCTTTTATATTTTTTTTAATCTTTCTTTTTCTATTTGGTTAAATTGGCTGCATTTTATCATATTGCAATTATCCCCTCTGCTGGTTCAAAACAGGGTCACAAAACCACAGCTTAAAGGCCAAATGCCACCCACCACTTGTTTCTGTGAAGAAAGTACTACAGTAAAGTAATGCAGCTACACTCAATTATTTAGATATTTTCTAAGACTGTTTTCAAAATACAGAAGCAGAATTAGAATAATTGCAACACAGACAAGAAGACTTTATTAAATATTTTAATATTTATTATCAGGCTTTTATAAAAAAAAAGTTTGTTGATCCTGATTTAGATGATACAGATGTCTTCTTTATTTTCTTTTTCATGTGAGTGGTGCTCAGCATAGAACCCAGAGTTTCATGCATGCTAGTTAAGTGCTCCATCACTTAGCTACATCTCCTGATCTTTCATTTTTGTATTTGAGACTTTACCACGAATTCTGAGAATAAATCATGTTTAATTATTATCATTAGGTAAAATATAAAACCTATGTTATCAACCCTCTACCTCCCAGCATGCATTCTAAAATTGTTCTAAATTAGCTCTATTTAATTCTATTTCAACACTCTTTAACATTGCTCTGTTTTTCTAATCACAATTGTTAGAAATTGTTATTTTTTATCTACCCCCATGTTATCATATTCTTAATCATTACTTTTGCATTTATTTCATTTTGGAGTTGATTTTCTTCTTTTCTTAGGCGTATCAGTAGCTTCACTGTTAATGATAAATTTTCAGTTTTGTTTGCTTGAATATATTTTTATTTTTCCCTAGTTTTTCTTTAGCCATTTGAAGATAGTTATCTTCCTGTTTGAGGTGAGTTTTGATTGAGAGGTCAACCATTAGTCCAAAAATCATCCCTAATTCTTTAGAATATTTATTAAACAAATGTTGTAACTTCCTTTGATGCTCATGAACTTCAGGGTTTTTTAAATATTGATTCTTACTTTACCTGTCTCAATCCTTCCTTCTGGATAATTTTTTTTTCAGATCTACCTTCCAGCTCACTATTTATCTTTTCAATAACATCTAAAACACTCTTTATCATATCCCATAGAGTTTAAATTTTTCCCTTTAAACACTTTTTATTTAAAATATTTTTATACTTACTTGTTTGTAATCTCTTTTAAAATAAAATACACAAAGATGCTTATTATCTCCTATATTCAGTAATAAATAAACAGGTTGTTTATGAGTGTGGTTCTGCCCTTTGTTCTTTTGACTAGTATGATAGCTTCTTTGTGCATTGCTTGGGTTGTGAGTTTATATTTCTTGGCATATTTTCAACAGGAGTTCCCGGGAGCCTGGGTTAAAGGTACAGGCCCCCAGAAAGGATTTGCATTTTCTTCATCCAAATCCTTTTTCAGCTTCACCAATCAGATCAGGGACTTTTAAAAAATCAAGACTATGTCATGAGCACACACATAAGTATATAAGTCTGTGTAGACACCTCACATGGTGTGATTTCTGGTTACAAATCTTGTGAATATCCAGAATGATATTCTCCTCCCACACCCAAGAGCCAAGACAAATTTCCTTGTTGTCTAGACCTTCCTGATTTCCGGATTTATGTTAATGTCTCTGATCTGATTCCCTGCTTTGCATGTCTATACATAAGGCTTTGCTTCTGTCCTTAAAGCATGATCATTAGAAGCACAGCTCCAGGCCAGAGAGGCCATGCTCCTCAGCAGTCTGTGAATTCAGCATTCACTCACTCTGCTGGATGTCTACTCTGGCTTCTCTGAAATTACTCCTTGTCTTTAGCAATTTCATTTTTCCACAATTTAGAACATTTTTTTAAAAAATACACACACACACACACAAGTGTGTGTAAATGTATGTTTGTGTATCTCATTGAAAAATATAGTGATTTCCGTATAGTCTAAACTATCTTACTGACTTTGTACACAAGTTTAAGAACTGTTTTACTCTGGGCTTTTTCTGTAGGTACTTGCAGGAAAATAAATACAGTCCAACATTTTAAGCAGGTTCTACTATATTTCCCAATTTAGTGGTATCCACAATGAACTGAAAAGAAAAACACTGCTCATACCCCACTAAACCATCATGTTAGGTCCTGTTTCAAGACTAGCTGAAACCTGAAGTTCTGGTGCACCATTAGCACTCTTCCCCCCCCACCCCCCCCACATGTATATATATATATATATATATATATACACACACATGTGTGTGTGTATATATATACACACACATACACAGACATAAATACACACCATATACCCACCCCCATACGTACACACACATATATATGTGTGTGTGTACGTGTGTGTGTGTGTATACACACACATACACAGACATAAATAAAATTTTCAGAATTTAAGGCTACAACACTTTTGCAATCCTCTCCCCATTGTGCCTTTGTTGTATATACATAGACTTTTCAGTCTTGATTTTTAGCCTAGCTGCTCAAGGAAAGTTGAAACTCAGATGCAAAGGTTCAGGTATGTTTTAAATTTTCTGAAAGTATCTTTGTGATTTTTAAAGGCTCTATGTGATCTGATTTCTTCTTTGAAATCTCTGTCTTTGTAATGACTTTAACAAATATTATAACAGACTTTGGAATTTTTGCAGAACCCTCACTCTTTATAATTGCTAACTTAAATATAGTTTTGTTTTCTATCTAAATAAGAAAAAATGCTGGCATTGATTTTTACTTTCTCTTCAATTTTCATCTTACCAAACTTGATAAAACACAGATGTATACATATGTACTTCGTAATGCATATGCTTTATCAGCAAAGATATCTTCACTTCTAACTTTAAAAAGTTCCAGGCCAAAAGGTAAAAGAAAAAGGGAAAACAGCAAAACAGGTAATTTGAGATGCAATCTGGATGATAAATTGAGCACTTGACTGAATTGTTATGAGATGGTTGCTTGTGTTTAAGAATGAGGATTTCTTCTGTCCTGAGTGGAGTTGTAGCATAAGCTAATTATTCATTGTAAATGTCTTGAGAGATGACATTTGCCAGACTGGTAAGTAGCCAGTAGATGCTGACTCACATTCGATCATGCCAATACAGGAATTAGAAAAGGATACCTCTTGAGTTGAGAAAAAAAATTTTGGGTTTTCTGTTTTCTTTAGTTCAATATTGCTTATTTTTTTCTTAGTTTTAAAACACGTGAGTATTTATTATTTATGGTCTTCTATTTCCAAAATGGATAAGGATCATTTTATAAACAACAATAACAAAACACATGTAAAGCAGAAAAATGAAAATATATAAATAAACAACAGTACATTAACTATCTAACCAGATATGAATTTTACCTGTTAAAATAGGTCATTATTCTGATTTCTGATAAGAGTATTGTAGAGTAATACTAAAAATTTATTATAATAGTTGAGAATGTGAGTATATAATCATATGTAATTTTAAAGAATGCAAAAATAATAATGCCAATTATCTCCCTTCTTATATGAAAAAGTATGAGGCATTTTTCATTGTAATTATTTTTCACTATTATTAATATTTCTTTGTTGTTTGAATAGATCAAGAAAATCTGTGGTTCATGAATTGGTGCTTTGTCCATTTAATAGTGACTTAATTATTAAAAAATATTTTTTTAAATTGTGGCAATCAGAAGTAATATAACAAATCACTTAATTACATTTGATAAATATTCTTATACTCTACATTTATGGTATAAATACATTTTATCTTAAATAAAGAACCAAATCAAGCACAGCAGAAACTTGCATTACAATTTTAATGTATTTTAAAATATATTTAAACAGTATATTTAAAGAATAATATAATAGACTTCCATTTCTTATTCTCTCAATGGTACACTATTAATTAAAAATATATTACTTAATGTACCCCAATATAGTTAATAGCATATTCTGTAATATAAACTGTACTTTAAAACAATATTGCATATACCTGAATTACAAACAAACCCAGAATGATTCTGAAAACATTGCTAATATAAGATTTGTTTGAAAGATCCAAAGGAATGATTAATAAATGGTGTTTTAGAAATATTTTCAGTAAACTGCAAATAAGCCTAACCATAGAGCCACCATAAGTGCTTAGTCATGCTTCCAAACATCAGTGTTTGTTAAAGAAAGGCCTTTAACAGCATTTCAACAGAGAAAATAAATTATTTTCTAAGGGAAGAATATTCACACCAGACACACACATATACACACTCACATACTCTCACACACAACATAATCTTCCCATTTGAAATTATTTGTGCTTGAAGGAAGGTTTCCAAAATCCCTTTACAAAAAGGTTTTCACTGAGCTCATTCTCAAAGATATGAAAAATGGATTTCAGCTGTTCTTTCAAAATGGCAATTCTGTCAAAGCCATTCTGGGACTTTTGGTAATTTCCTTCAGTTTAGTTTCAGTGCTTTTACTCCAAATAAAATCCCTTGCATCACATCAATCAGCAAACTCAGTTATAAAGGAAGGCTAAAGAAAATGGCTCTGTCGGCATCCTTGGCCCCAGCACATTTTATGCATGCAGTGACTCTTGTCTGTAGGGAGAGAAATGGAGCACATGTAAATGTTTCTTTATTTTGGACTAAGTTTTTAAATCTGAATTTAAAAAAAAATCTGCAGCAGTAGTGTTCTAGATAATAGGCAGACATGATTTATTTGAGGTAAGAAGGTTGTTCTACAATTTTTTTAGTGTTAACTTGGAAAGTTATGGACACAGGCTGAAGCCTGTCTCCACAGAATTCCTGAAGCTTTGAGCTCCTTGCAAAATCTACAGTTCACAAGCCAAGAAGAAACATGCTCCTACAGTTACACAAATTTTGTTAAACCAAATGGTTATAACAATTATGTGCAATCTTTCAGCTTCTATGTTCTGCCTACTGTTTATTTATTCAAATCCAGTTCAACATTTCACTTTATCTAATGAAGCAGAAAGTGTAAAAGAAAAATTATGTTTATCCAAGCATTTTTTGTTTGGGTTGTTATTTTTTTAAGTTTTATTTCTAAATAAATATCCTATCATAGTTTTCATTGGCACAATGTAACCAAATGCATTCAATTTCCTTCAACAATATTAAACAGTCAAAGGAGTTCTGTTTAATCTCAAAAAATTGTATGAAGAAAAAATGTTGAAATGGAATAAAATTGGAGTCAGCATGCTATATAACATAGTGACCTATATAGCAGATTTAACTGATAAGGCATCCACAAAGGAGAATATATACCTTTAAATAAATAAAAATGACTATATACATGATATTATACATAGGAAGAGAGATGAAATGAGCCAGACTAATTTTAGGAAATTCCCCTTTTGTCTGCTTTTTATTGCAGCCATAAACCTTAATACAAATCTTTTGTTATTGCCATAATTATCTAATATTATTATTAATATTAGTGGCAGCCACATGAGCGTACTACCATATTTCTGTATTTTTTCAAAATGACATTGGAGCTGTCATCGAAGTACAGAACAGAGATGGCATTTAATTTGGTTGGAGCACAACAAGGCTTTGGTACATGGTCAGGAAACATCAGATGAACCTGAGAAAGGGAAAAAAAATGTCTTTTTAAGAAATAGGGTAAAGAGACATTTGTTTGCAACTTTAAATAATATGCTTGTTTTGTCATCCACCATCAGGCACACCCTTAATCTGACCAACTTTCTCTTACTATGTTCCATGACTGGTGTGGGGTTGGGGCTGGTAGTGAAGGATGTATTCTTAAGCACTAACACCAAGAATCAATGTCCCCGTTCTAATTAAGCAGCGGTGGGAGGCTTGAAAATAGCCCATCAAATAAAGAAAACTGTCTCTTCAGTGGAAATTTCCTGGGGAAAGAACATGACAACTTGCACTGAGTTGCTTTTAGTTGAAATGACAATTTCTATTCACATCATGAGAAATATGTAAGCTGTAAGTACAAATCAATGAAGACACACAGTTGGACTACAGAAAGATTTAAATGTATGGATTATTTTTTAAGAATAATTAAAAAATGAGTCATAAATGTTATGTCAACTCTTAATTTTCAATGTTGAAGGAAGAATAAAAATCATAATGAAATGAAATCCAGATATAATCCAATATTTGTTTTAAAGCATGGTTTCAATTCTTCTTCATAGAATTTTTTATCAGATTCACTGAAGTTTAACATCATTGTATGTTCTTTCTCCCCTGCCCAATCCTAGACAAGTGCCAAGAAGCAAGCAAAGCTAAACCAGAAGCAATGGGACCAGATATTTTACAAATTGAATATCCATCCCACTAGAAGCCTAAAAAGGTGGCCATACATGAAAGTGAAGTGCTTAAGTAAAGGATTCATGCTCATTCTGAGCAGACTGGCAGTTTGCCTGTGAGTTGCAATAATTGAGCAAGGAGCCAGAATGTGCCTCCCCCCTTTCCCACCCACTTCTGGCCCCTCCTCCAAAGGAGTTTATGGGAAGTCCCTTTGATGAGTCTTAAGGGATCTACAAAAAGCAAATGCAGCCTCTTATAGTTTGGCTGCATAATTCCCTGGCTGAAATGATATAGGAGCCCTGCATGTGGACAGAAACAGCAGAAAAAATGAGGTGTTCTGACATGAACTTGAAGTTTCCTAAGACCTCACAAAACTAAAAGTTGGACAGCTTCTACGAATTTCAGATGCAGCTTGTGTCCCTCATCAGCTTTATCTTCCATAACCCACACATATATGATGGATAACCACACGTTTCAATGGCCTTGGCAGCCCCATGAAGCAGTCACTCTGTAAAAAACGGATTGTTCTTGAATGATTTCTCAAGTCTATTAGTCATAAACATGCTTTCTTTTAACAACAAACATGCCTGTCTTCTTGTTTCATGTCCTTCATAGAACAAATAAAGAGCATGCGCAACGCCAGGAAAAAAAAAAATCAAGCTTCCCATGTCTGCTTGAGTTCTGCAGAGACTGATGTCCTACACCCAGGACAGCAATGCAGTGCAAGGTCTTCTTCCAAGTTCATGTCAGATCTTTTCTAAATGTTTGTTGCTCAACATTGACTTTTAGACTTCAGCTCTAAGACTTGAAATAATAATTATCTATTATAGGAAAAAGATGAGAGAAGGGAATATTTGATAAAGGCTTTCTGCCAATAAGCAAACATTGCTTGGCCTGAGGGGAACTTTGATATAGATAAATACATATCAAAGGAAGAAAAGTTATACAGTTATTGAACTAACAATAAAAAGGGGCAAAGAACTTTGAGAGAAATTAAGTGACATTACTTTATAAGCAAATAGGAGCTATTTCTTTTGTGACTCTACAAAAAGATGGCAGTTGTGACTGTCCTTTCAAAAGATGAAGCTGCAGAATGCCCCTGCCTACTGGTTGAGGTTTGGTATGTATGACACACTGTCTTTGCAGAGTCTGCTTCCTTCCCAACTACCCAAGAAGTGCTATGTTACATCAAGAAGAGTGTGCATTTATAGACAGCAAAGGTGAAGGCACCCCCAGGAACTCACTCTATACATGAATTTTGCACTAGGGTAATCTCATTAAAAGAAATACATTTGTAAATGACAGCCTACCAGAAATACATGTTTGTTTTATATGTTTCTTTCTACCCCAAGGTTATTTCCAAAATTTTTATAATGCCCACACTGTAGTTGCCATCAATGAGAATTTCTGAATCCTAATTATTTTGTATCATTTTATGAAGTTAATGAAGATGCAAGTAAAACAACAGTGCATTCAAGTATTTGATCTGTCAGTTTATATGTATATATTAATCCTTATTCAGGAGGAAATTGGGATACTCCTTATACTGGCTTTAAATTTTAAATAAATTATGGGGAAAAAGTCAACATTCTAAAGTCAATTTCTCTCAAATTCTAAGAGTACTATCATTATTTTTTGATAGGGGTCATAAACCAGCCTCATTCCAAAGAAAGGTTTTTTCCTAATATCCATTCCTCTCTTGTTGCCATCCACCAAGCAGCTCTACTTCTAACATTAATTCTTGATTCTAAAGTAGTGTGTGTTCCACCCTTTTCCTCCTACATACATAGATATATAAATCTCATAATGATCCAAACATTGAGTTGGAATCATATCACACAATCTAGTATATCCTCTGGGAACCTCATAAGATACATCTGATTCTCCAGAGGTTTTATACGTTTGTTAGAGATGGTACAGAGACCATCAAAAGTCAACACCACTTCACTATATTGTTCACCAAAATAAGCCTAGTTACTAGAGATTTAATCACCGATAATTTTCTGAGAGTGTGGAAGAGAAAAAGGAAGATCATTTCCACTTTAAAGATTACACAGGAAGAAGGAGAATGGGGCTGGGGAGAAAAAGGAGGAGAGAGAGAGAGAGAGGGAGGACTGGAAGGAAGGAATCAAGAAACGGCAATCAGTCTCCTACTTAATACCTTATTGAAGAACTGTAATAATACTAAAGTATGTTACAGGACATCCTTAAACATTTAAAGCAAAAACTCTCAGATGAAATTCAGCACAGCTATTAGTCAATATTTTTGTAATGATTATTAATGAATTTTCGGTTAAACACAGTTCCCTGGGAACCTGCCTAATTAGTCATACTGTGTAGGGAAGAAATCAGTGCAGAGGATTGCTTCACATGATTATTCCAATATTCCCAACTGGATCCTTCCCTGTTCTGTAATATTTAAGCCACTATATCCACAGTTGTTACCTTAGCTATAAAAAATAACAAGGTATCTTGGGAAGATATCCTAATGCATTGATGATTATGAATGGATAACTTTTCTTTAAAACAACATTATATTGCGCTTGCATTATAAACCATTTCAATCCTACAAAAACAAGCATACCAAAGTCTGAACTATAGCATGGTTGGTGGCATTCATGTGAGCATTAAGTGGAAAAGAACATTCTCCATCACAATAAAATGCAGCATATCCTTCTGGTGCTATAATCCAGTCCTGAAATGCACAGAGAAAAGAGAAAATAAAATCACCTACTTGAAAATACTCAAAGAAGTTTCATCTGAAAAGGTTTTATTTCTTGATCCAACAAGCATTCCAATAGGATAGCCTCTCCCACACACTTTAATTTTAAATTAAAATTTAGCAAAAAAGTATAAATGTTTTTGCAAGAATTTGTCCTCTTCTCATTTCTCCCAGGAGGTTGCTATGTAAGACATTTATAGCATGCATTAATCCATGTATGTATTCGTGAATACAAACATAATCATGAGATAGCATTCTAAATATTGTTTAAACAGGAAATGACGAACTCCACAAAGTTCAAGTGAACCAGAAAGGACAAGACAAATAAACTTAATTGAGATAATTCTCATTATTTCTTAATAACTCATTCCCCATTTTAGAAGTCTGACAACTTCCTAAAGCTTTAATATTTATTCCATGTGCTATTTTTCTTTTCATTCTTGCATTGACTTTATGGACTCCTTAGCAGAAATAAATTGGAACAAATTCCTTAAAAGTATACATGAAAAATTTCAGGAAGCTAAATCATTGGCAATGCAGAATTGTTGCCCTGAATTTTCTCTCCAGAGAAACAAAACTTAGTGTAAATGTAAAAATTATTGTGATATTCATGTTGAAGGTTTATGAAAATTTTGAAAATGTTTACATATTAATATTATTTATCAATAAAATTGTTGTGTATGTTGAGAATCCATTGTAATAGAATATTAAAGGAAATATAACAAAATAGTTTTTAATGACTATTCTATTTCATTTTTAAGTTCTTTTCACACAGAGCCATTAAAAATTATTTTGGTTAAATTCTCTTCCTCAATTTACTTATGAAGTATATTTTAACAACAATATGATTTTTTGTTTTGTTCTGGGGACTAAACCATGGCTCTTGCTTCTGCTGAGAAAGCATTCTACTACTGAGTTAAATCCCTGGCCCTTCTTATTCTTATATTGAAATGTGGTCTAAGTTTCCCAGGCTGGCCTTGAACTTGCAATCCTCTAGCCTCAGCCATCTGAGTAGCTGGGATGATCGGTGTGTACTACCATACCCTGCTACTAATAATACAATTGTAAGTGAAAGAAACATCTTTTTTGTACATCTACTTTATGACAGAGACATTATTGATTATAGTTCTATTTCCTAGGCTGATAGTTTGGGAACCTAAGAGTACTAGTCTGAACTAATATGTTACCCATTTTCAATTTAAAGTTGGGGGTATTTAAACAACACTATTCTTTTTTTTTCAATTCCTAAATATTATAGACTCATACTTCTTTTCAGATAACTGCATTATACCATAAAATATACTTATTATGCATCAAGGGTGAAAGCAAGCCAAAGGGAGAAATGAAAATTATGTGGATAAAATATATCCTGAGGAGTCATTCAAAATGATCAAAAACTATACTTGGAAAATTACTGACAAAGATAGTGACTTTCTAACGATTTACAAAAAAGGAGAAAAGAAGCATCTAAGTTGACTTAAAATCCTTACCTGCCATCCCAGGTCCCGGAAACTCACATAGAGTTCATGCTTCTTACAGGCTTGTTTTTGTTCACTTGTATTATAATCTGAAGATTGTTTTAAAAATCACATATTATATAAATGGCTGAATATCAGGTATACAATATTTCTTCTATAAGATCACTGTCAAGATTTTTAAAGGGGTTATATTTGAAGATTTAAATTATCAGTTTGAATCCTAAAGCTAGAGCCAATGACCAACCACATGCATTTGAATCATGCCACATGTCCTTTCTTCTTTTGTAAAACCTAGACAGTATCTTCTGCCCAATATGTTACCACCTGTATGACAGGGCATAGCCTTGTGATTGCCACGTATGGTATACTAACTGTTCAATATGTGTTCATTCATTAATTTAGTCATACATAGTATATTTTTCTATAATAAATATTCTTACAATATTTTTTAACATCTTCCATCAAGCAGACAACTGGGATCTTACTAGTTGATTTTATTTTAATATCATAAATTCATTGTACCTCCAAATTGAGCTTCTGATCATTCCTCAAAAACCTGTCCACTTCTAGAGTTCTCCATTCTTGACTGACATCAGTTGCCCCAGGCATAAAAACCGAAGCAAAATTAAAAGAAACACCAGGAGTCTAAATACCTCTTTTGTTTTGTTTTCACTTTCACATCCAGTCTGTCCAGGCATTTTATGCACTATTTTTAAATAGATCCAAAATCCACCCACTCTCCTCACCTCCATCATTGCTTCCATTACAAGCCACCATTTCTAGCCTGAATTACTTCAATATCTTCAATGCTAGCCTCCCTGCTTTTGCCTTTGCTCTCCTACAAAAAAAACCAGTCAAGTGGGTCTTATAAAAAGTAAACTTTATTGTCGTACTTCCCTGGAGGAAGTCCCACTATGTTCCCATCTCAGGGAGAGTGAACTGTTCTCACAGTGGTTACAAGGCTTTATTTTCAAGTCTTTGCTTAAACATCATTTCAAGGAGGCCTTCATTGACTACCCTATTAATGTTGCAACCCTAAACCTGATACTCTTGATTTTTCTAATCTTATTCTATTTTTTCCCCATTTCCTTTACTGTGTTGTCAAATGCTAGCTATGATGTTCACGCATTTATTATATAAACTGCTGCTTGTCTGTTTTCTCCTACTAGAATGTAAATTCACCAGAGCAAGAGTCTTATTTGGCTCTGTGTAGTTCACTGACATATTCCAGGGGTCTGATACAGTAAGTGACACACAGTAGGCATTCAATAAACATTTGAAGGATTAATAAAACAGATTTTTCAGTATTCTAAAAATTATTTTCATTACATATTTTGGAATGTAATCTGGAATACCCATAATATTTTATAATTGTTTCAAAGGTAAGTATAAATGCAGAACTCCAATCTTGCATTTGGAATGAAGTAAAATACTAAAGAAACATACAACTTTATGGAACATTTTTCTATGTTGTCTTCTCTGGAACATATGCATGCTTTATACAAATAACATCTTAACTCACTTTGATTGTTTCTAATATGAAATATGAAAGAGAAAAAAATTATTTATTTCAAAGAAAGTTTGTGTTAAGGTGCTATCTGCCTTTTTAGTTATTCAAACTTCAATAAAACCAGAGATCAAATGGGGTCCATCATGGGGGGCCCTGTTGTCTGCCATTCCTGGATCCTTCAAATATCAGTCTAGGAAACAAGAGAGTGATTAAATTTTTGAAATTGAGGATTTTAAAATTTCTAGATCAATTATTTCTACTGTGCAATTGGAACAAAATTTAAAAGTAAATAATGAAAAATGGAGAAAAAAATAAATTATTTGAGACTTGGTACTATTGTTCTTCAGGGAAAAGTCTCCCTTAATCTAAATAATAGTACAAAGAATTAACTTTATTCAGGCAATGGACAACTGTACTTTAAGCATGAAATGGATAAGTATATATGAAAAGCCATAAACTACATGCATGGTTATTTGAATTCTATGTTTATAAAAAAAGAAAGTAAAACTTTAAAGTCCAAATATATCTGTTCCATCAATGCAGCTTTCATGCAGGCTAAGTGATGTATATAATGTAACATCACATAAAGGTAACGAGCAATGAAATTTATAATGAAATATGGTTCCAAGAGTCTGATTTCATAGAGTTAGGACCATATGCTTATTCTGTCAGAAATAAAAATTAATGGATATCGAGTGAAGTAAATGTTGTACCCAAACCAGCAAAGTCTGCAGTTAGATTTACAATAAATGACTGGTAGAATAAGCTGTGGGATAAAGGGCTAGGAAATTAGATTTATATATTTAAAAATATTAATTGGTAGCCCTTAGGAGATTAAAATGAAATGGAGATAACTCTATTGTTGATGAACCTGCCTACAATAAAGTCATACCTGAAATTACTAAAATGTTTTGTTGCCACAGTGGATCCTAGAAAAAGTACACTAACATGCCTCAAACAAAATGCAGGCATTATAGTATAGTACTTTCCTTTGTTTTCTCTTAATAGTAATAATGTCCAGAAAACAAAGCAAAAACATTGAAACTATTATTAGAATTTTATGCAAATTTCTTTGTGGCTAATTTCCAGATGCAGTACAAATTTAATTTTTTTTCTACTTTTTTATTGGTGTATTATAGTTCTACATATTGATGGGCTTTATTTTCACACATTCGTATATGCATACAATATAATAAAGTCTGACTTTAAAATATTAGAAAATATGAAAAAGAAAGATATGGACATAAAAAGTGATATTAAAAATATCCTGAAATCTGCATAGATATTAAGACACATACTAGTTCCTGAGAAAACAAATAAATGTAGTCTAGCCTCCCTAAGAAGAGAACAACAGACAATACTTAAATTCAAAAAATTCCATCTATCAACATTGGTCTCAAAATAGTATTAGCTTCTTCAGGAGGTAAAATGAGAGATAGAGAGAGAGAGAGAGAGAGAGAGAGAGAGAGAGAGAGAGAGGTGTCAATCACACATTCAAAATAGAATTTAGCATTTAAGCATCACAGCAGCTTTAGAACAAGACAGGATGTTAGTTTTCTCATTCCCAGTGTCCAAAGGGAAAAGGAAGTCAGCACCTGCAGCATTAGAACAAAGGACTTTACTTGCAGCCAATGGACAATGACAGTAAAGGAAGGTCTGTTAAAGAGGCACAAAAGAAAGAATGATGCTACAGCAATGAACTATTCTGTAATATAGATTTGATATGACCTTGGGAGTAGAGAAATATGTGATAAACTGACAAACAACAGCAATCCCATCCAAAGAAGGGGTTTTAAAAATATTATAGCTACTCCAGTTTATTCACCACATTCCACCCCAGCAAATTAACTGTTTGAATACACGCACAAACCAGGAACAATTTATGTTATTTCCTAGTATAGGGATATCTGTGCTTGTCTAGGTATGAATGGGTGACATAAAACAGACACCCTAAACTAATAACTGTCTGGTTTATTTCCTTAATTCTGCTCAGCAAGTCATACATCTGAATGACCCAATTAACATCTTCACCTGAGAACCCACTGGAATAAAAACTTAAGCAAAATATTTAGCTTCTAATTGCTTGCAAGACCTTTAATTGAAAAATTTCCCAGATGCCTCCAATTTCTGCTTTTTATTTTTTTATTGTTTCCATTTTTAATTTTCAGTACATTGAAATTATGCATAATAGTGATATTTATTTTGACATATGAATAATTTTCTACATAATAGAAATGTGTATAATAAATATATAAAAAAGTTTTCTCCATTTCAATCCCAAGTACTAGTCCCTTCCCTCCCCAATTTCCTCCCCTTGATCCTCTACTTTATTGGTCTTCCTTCTTTTATTCATTTATTTGTGCATTTCAGTTATATATATGGAATTGGAATACATTGTGATATATTCATACATGCACATGATATAATTTCATTAAGTTCATTTCCCATTTTTTCCCCTTTGCCTCCCCTCCCTCTTGGTCTCCTGCTTCTACTCTACTACTTGCCCTTCAATTTTGTTGAGATCCCATTTTATTTTAGCTTTCTCTCTAGCTTCCACATATGAGAGAAAACATTCAACCCTTGACTTTCTGAGTCTGGCTTATTTCATTCAGTATGATATTCTCCATTTCCATCCATATGCCATCAAATGACACAGATTTATTCTTCTTTATGGCTCAGTAGAACTCCATTGTGTATATATACCACATTTTCTTTATCCATTTGACTATTTCTACTTTTGACCTTACTTTGTTTCAACACTATTTTAGTTAACAGGATCATCAGTCACCATACCTGAAATATATCATCTGCCCATACCTGAAAATTTAGAAAGAGTCTTGATTTTCTTTATTTCTCCCTCAGATCCTATGTTAGATTAGTCCACAAAGCCCCATTACTTGGCTCACTTCACTATTCTAGTTTTAATAGCCTATTGAAAGCCCTTTGCACTCTTGGTTACCGTATCCTTCCACACTGTCTTCTTCCAATAACTTTGAATCCTAGGATAATACTTCATTTCTGTTCACCTCATACATCTCTTATTTTTTCTTTGTGGGCTTTTGATTGTTTGCATTACTGAGAATTGAACTCACTACCTTGTGTAGGCAAGTCCTCTGCTACTGAGTTACATTTCCAGCTCTTTCTTCATATGTCTCTGATTATATGTATTATGGTTTAGGGCCTAAGCATAGCTTCCTAGTTGATATTCCACTCTTCTCACAAAGAAATGCTTGCATATACTACCCATTCAACACCAGTACATAATCCTGGAACTGTGTACATCTGCCTGCAATGGTTTCATCTATCCCTTCACTTTTCAAAAAAAAGTCTATGTTTTTCCTCAGGTAAGTAATTCGTGTCTAATCCAAGATTATATGACTAGAAAGTGGTAGAGCCAAGATTAAATTAAAGATAGACAATACATAACTAAATGAAAAAATAGATAAAGCTAGCTGACTACCTATTATATGCACTAAAATAATAATTTTTTAGGAATGGTATCTGAATTTTGCATGATTCGTGGAACAGATAATAGTTATTAATGTTAATTCTATATAAATAATGTGGATAAGAGATTCATTTACTCAGGAGTTTAAGTCAGAAGGATCACTGAGTTTGAGGACAGTCTGAATATTTAGTGAGACCCTGTGACAATCTTGGGAGACCCTGTGGCATCTCAAAATATAATTTTAAAAAGGTCTGAGGATGTATCTCAGTCAGTGGTAGAGTGCTTGCCTGGTATTTGGGGAGCTTTGGAATAAATCTTTACTACCTCGAGAGAGAGAGAGAAAATGTATGTGGAGAAATATTTGGAAGTACACTTAGCATGTTAGTATCAGTATAGCAGGGCAACATCATGGAAAAATTAATAAGGGAAAACATTATGATTTTATTATTTTTAAATACTAAAGAGTACACTAATTATGTAATATAAAACATTTTGAAGAAATAATTCCAATTAATTCTATGTTCTTGTTTTAATTAATATCTGTTGTGTCAAGAGGCATGGATTTATATAGAATCTATTAGGCAAGAGACAATGCCTATAAAAATTGAGAAGTAAATGTACAGAGATATGAATAATTGTGCTCTATATGTGTAATATGAATTGTAATGCATTCTGCTGTCATATATAACAAATTAAAATTTAAAAAATAAAAAAAATTAAATTGAGAAGTAAGTGTAGAATTTTTCATTCAGAAACTGTATGAAAGACTTACCCTAAGAAATACCATAATTTTAGGCAAGGCCACCACATACTTTGACCCACTTTCAAGAATCCTTAGTAGTGAACATGCTATAAATAATCTTTTTCACCATCCTGTAATGACATGTGTTATGATTTAGATATAAAGTGATCCCAAAATATTCATGTGTGAGAATGCAAGAAAGTTTAGAGGTGAAAGGGTTGTATTATGAGAACCTTAATTTAATCCATGCATTATTCCACTAATGGGGATTAACTAGGTGATAACTGTAGGCAGGCAGGGTGTGGATGGAGGAGGTGAGTCTTTGGGGATGTGCCTTTGGGATATATATTTTGTCCCTCAAGAGTGTAGCTGTCTGTGTCTCTCTGCTTCCTTGTGTAATGCCCTGAGGCTCTCTGCCACACTCATCTGCCCTGATGTTCTGCCACACCTCAGGGCAGGAGCAATAGATCTGGTTGTCTATAAACTTAGGCTTCTGTAACCATGAGCCCCAAAATAAACTTTTCACATATAATTGTTTTTGACAGATCTTTTGGTCATAGCAATGAAAAAGATGACTAAAACAACAGGACCTACCATTTTCCCTGTTGATTCTTCCAGAGTTTTTATACTTGGTTGTTTTTAGCATTTTATGTAGTTCTTAGAAGTAGTTCTTAAAGTTTAAGCAGTTCTTTAAGTAGTTCCTTAAAAGTCCTACCAATCTAGTGTCTTCATATTTTAAAGAGTAGCTACCTTAAAATTCAGCTATTGCTTCCATTTCTTTCCCACACATATTCAAATTTCAAGGGAATATTCACTGTGTTGCCTTAATGTGAAATAGGCAATATCTCCCACAGAATGCCTGGCTCAAACTTCTTGCCAAAACCCTGAAGAAGAACAGTGGAGAGATGGGCAGTTTTTGCAGAAAACCTAGATGCAATGGTTTTTATGGAAGCTAATTTTCCCCACAATCAACACATTAACTTATTCCATAGGGATTCGGGGTACTTCCACTATGTGCTGTACACTGTTCTAAGCTTTCTCATGGGGATATGGAAGAATAAATGCATTAAGAAATCAGAGGACAGCAAAGAGGGAAGAAATGAGGGTAAGGACAGCAAAAATAACTTGGATTTTAATCCTCCTGCATCCTGTGTGCTATCTGATATTTTCAACATTTAATGATATGCTTTGAAGAAAGGAAAGGAAGGAGGGAGGGAGGGAGGAAGAAAGGGAGGAAGGGAGAAAGGGAGGGAGGGAGAAAAAAAAGACAAGAAAGATAGATGCAACTAAACATGGAATACAACTCTCTTCCCTAAAAGCCACCTTCTATTCCTTCTTAGCCAAGGATCCTTTAAACAGTATTTTATTGTAAAAGCTGGTACTGTTGTAGAATTTATTATTTATATTCAGATAATTTAAAATTTTCATTGGCATTTCAAGTCCCCTAAGTATCAAATTTTCTGTTTATACTAAGTGTTCCTTTTCCTTAAACCCCTGTCTTTAGGCCAAATCCTATGAGGCTTTTCCCAGTTCCCTTGATTACTACCTATTGAAAGGTTAAGTCTCATAGACACAAACCAGCTACCTTCTTTCTTCTTATTATCAAAATATGAACATGCTCCAAAACCATCTACCACATATTTCACAGAAATGGTTGCCAATGACAAACTTTTAAAAAAGAAAATATTGGTCTATATTAGAATAATTTCGTAGTCTAAATGGTGTTAGGAAACTGGTGAAAAGTTACGTGATTTCTGCTCCATGTGTTTTATTCATCTATGGGTATAGAAGTACATTTGTTACTTGTGGGCAGGAAGAAGATAAATAGAGTTAGCCAATAGGGAAAAGGACTTTGATGATTTCAATTGCTGGAACGCCTCTGCCAGAGTAATTAGGAATTCTAATACTAAGTATGTGACTTCTACTTTTCTCTTTGTGATTTCCTCAAAAATTATTTACTATTCTATTCAAAGTTTAGCCAACCCTTCTCTTAATGCAGTCTGCTACATTAAATTAAAAACATTTCAACCAAATTTAGAGCCATTCTACATGAAAAGAAAAATATACAACTTTGACAGGCTAGTATTTACAAGGAAGAAAGGGTCTTGGAAAGTTATTTTTCTCCCTCTTCATATTAAGCAATTACAACTTTTTGCCAAACTAAATATCTTGTGAAGATCTTTACAAAATAGCTTTGTAACACAGCATAATATCATGTTTACTCTCAAATGAAAGAGGGGTTAAATGTCTTTGGTGGAAAATTATTTTAAAACATCATTTTTATGTAGTATTTAATTCAGTATAATGTATAATTCTTCTATGCATAATTCTTCCCTCCTGCCTCTGTTGCTGGGCACCAAAAGGACTTCATTCTAACATGATTCTCCTGGTGCTTACACTTTGGGAAATCTTCAATGAATTTCATTTAGTATTTTTGTGGAGAATTTCAGATGCAGAAAAATGAAAACAAAAAACAAAGTTTTTACAATCTGTTTCTTATCTAAACACTCATACATAATAAATGTGAATAATAAATAGCTGCTGGATGATTTTTCATTTTCAAGAAACTTGGGAAAATGAATATTTGGGGGACAATGTCAAAGGCAATTTTAAATTACAATTGTAATTTGCAGAAATACCACATGAAGGAATGATGTCTATTTGGGTACCAGCTCACCCATTGTCCCTGACATGATCCAGGGGATATTAACAAAAATGAATACATATTGTATAAATGAACCAATAGTTTGTTCTAGGTGAATCCCTGTTCAAACATATTTTTGTAGATAAAAATAAATTCTTGGAATAAAATAGCCATCATTTTCATCTAAGAACAAGTTATTCAAATTTGTTTGTAGCCTGGACTCAATATAAGTCTTCTTGGTATAATTAGCCTGATTTTGCCACTTTAGATTCTGGAAGTTAGATGCGTTCTGATCATTTGTAATTTTATCTCCTCTTCTATTAAATAACAGATTAAACTCCTAGTACACTGATATCAGTTGAACATCAATATTTTGCCAAAACATTATATATATATATATATATATATATAGTCATACACCAAATAACAGTCCTCCAAATAATTTATGGAAATATAAATATTATGTTAATTATCATACAATCTGTCCGGTTCCTATATTCAGATAAGAAATGAGTTGCTTTATCCCTATTTAAGTACCAAAGAGTAAGAATTTAGTAAATAGCACTAAAGAGAAGAATTTATGCTGATTTTCCTGGTTGACCATCCATATTTAGAGGCCCTGGGGAGGTTAAACGAAGCAAGTTATGTCATTTAGTTTGGGCTTGACTTTGTTGATCTAGCCATTTCATAATTTAATTAATGCCAGTTTGATTTTAATTTGAACTGAATCTTTCAACATATGAAGACAAGTCCTACTTATTTTGAAATGAATTACTGAGTGATTCACTGATGAAACATTCTAGGGATGCTAGAAACATCACTGGAAGATTTAATATACCAAATGAAGGTCTATACAGAGGATAAATTTATTGTGGCTACTTGATTTGCAACATGTGACCCCATAACTCTCTGTGCACAACTGCTGCTCTAGTTTTATCTTACCTCCAGCACTGGACATCCTGGAGGAGTCCTGATGAGAGCTGGATTTATTGCGGTTTTGATTTTTCCGTTTGTTGGCCGCTCTCACTGATCGAAGAAGTACCTCACTGGCCTTGAAGAAGGCCACCATGAATGGTTGTTTTGATTGAGGCCCATGTCTTCCCACAAGACCAGCAGATTTCACATTGATACTGCGTCCTAGAATACAACGCACAAGGAATTATTTTACAAGAGATAAAATTTACCTGATGTGAATCAATTCTGAGGGTACTTTGAAAAAGGCAAAAGTTTTAAAGCAGTATCACAATTTTTTTTCTTTATAAGCCAAGTTTCTTATCATTCGTGGGGTTACTATTACAGACAAACATTCATGCTTAATTTTTTATTGTGATCATACTTTCACCACAGAACACCCTTGGGCCACATTCACTCATTGATACCTTCTCAGACCTCAAAGGTTTGACTACCCATCAGCCTGGAAATGTCCACATTGAATAACAATTCCAGAAATCTCATCTGCAGACTCTTCCACACTAAAGACCTCATAATTTTCCTCTAAGTGGTAAAAGCTGAATGCCTAGAAGGTGTTTCTACTTTCTCCAGCCAATTTCAGCCTTTCAGGTATTAATTAACGCTGAGAGCCTTTCCGCCTTCGCCTCTGCCCAGGGCTTTCGCAAACTTGAGAACTCTGTGCTCTACTTAAAGCTCTTCACAGGTCATTCTGGAAGACCCTTCCGGGGATGGAGGCTTGCTTTTAAGTTGCACTTCATCCTCATTATGAAGTATCTTGAAGTAAACTAGGAAATTTTAGAATTCCACTCCTGAGTTTGACATACCTGAATAATGTTTATTGAAAAAGTTTCAGAAGAAGCAAACCAAGTCTGAAGACTCTCAGGAAAGAGAAAAATGTTCAGGTGAATTTTTATAATTCACTTTTGTTAGCCTTTTCTAATTTAAAATAATTGTCACTAAAAATTAAATATAGTCTATGTAAAAATTATAGAAGTACTATATCACTTATATATAATATCTATGTATACAAAGAAAACCATTGACTGATATCTGGTTCCCTAAAAGTCACTCAAAGAGGATGAATTATTTAACCTTAAGTTGTAAATTTAGTTGAGAATTACTCAAAACTTATACAAAGTTACTACTTAGATATGGACACTACCAATCCTGTAAGAATAATTTATAATGTGGTTTGAAATATGTGCATGATTGACTCCGGCTTTCCCCCTGAGAAATGTGCATGTTTTCTTAAAATATTTATTCTGTAAAGTCTGTGGAGCAGTCTCAGTCCATTATAAGACCTGACCCACCTTAGAAGAAAGAAAAAGAAAACAAGTCCTGAAACAGCATCAATGGCATTTTAGCAAATAAACCCTTGCTCTTAACAAAATTTATTTTGGCAGCATAAACACTTTTGTGTATACTTGTATTGTGCAGAGAGCTTCTACCGTCAGAATATGAGATTGTGTCATGTGAGACTATGCAGCTGTTGGGAAGGACACAGAGGTCCTTTAAATGTGGAGATATTGATTTTTAAAAGACAGTCTGCCCCAATCCAGGCAGCATAGGTGTCCTCAACAACTGTACTACAACATACTGGGGAAAATTATCTAATGCATACAAGTATTAAAATGGTCATCTGCCTCACAAATGCCACTACATTCAGTCCTACTAGAAAAAGGACTTACAAATAATCAAAGCAGTAAACCTTGAACAAATAAGCATATAGATTTCTCTTTTAAATGCAAACTTACAGTGGCTCTATGCCAGAGTCTACATTTCTTAGAAAAACTCTATCACTGGCATAAATGAAAGAGGCAGTTTGATTTGTGGTCAGAGTAGTTTCCATTCTACTTCCACTGTAACAAATGTATTAATTCAGCTCAGACTTCCTCCTTCTGGCAGCCCTTTTACTGTAAAAAGAGAAATTAGAAGTTCCAGCCAAATACCATACCTTGAACTGACCCACTTCAATACATAAACACTTTTACAACATGTTTATTCAGGTGTAGCACTTGAAATTGGTTTAAGATGTTTCCAGTGACAGAGAGCTCAGCAAAAGAAAAGAAAGAAAGAAAGAAAAAAAAAGAACTGCGAAACTTAACTGTTACAGAATAGAATAACTGGCAATCTGTTCTTCAAATTTTCTAACTTTTTTCTGTCTCTGGGTATGACATAAAAAGTATTTGTCAAAGCTTTTATTTTGATGTTTTAATGAAGTGTTAATTTAACAGGAACTAAATTTTTACTTGTATACATTGATGACTACAGAAATCATTTTTAATATATGATCTTTCTAATGCTGAAATAGGTTGCTGCTAGATGTTCACAAATGGAATATAATAAAATCAGTTTTCCATTCATTACTACACACACTGACCCTTTTAAAGTTAAATATGCACTTAACTCAAAGTTCCAAGTTTCCTTTGGTTTGTAAGCGGGTTTCTTTTATTTTTATTCCAAAGACTTTCAATCTTTTAATTTTTATCTATAGAGAAATAATACTACTCTAAAGATTTATGTTCTGAAAACTATAAAGATGTATGCTACAAATATGGGTTTCTTAGGTTTTACAAAGGTAGATATTGTATGTGAAGCAAAGTACCCTTCAAATCAATGTGAACTCCCTTTAAAATAACTTTTAATATTATTAAGTTTCCTCTTGGTTTCCTTTTTACTCCAGCAATGAGGTGACTATTAAGATTCCATAAGTTAGTGCTTGCTCAGTTACCCTTAGTCTTGAACTACACACAGAAGCATTAACTATTTAGCCTACTTCTTAAGTCATAGTATACCTATATTGATTATATTAACTAAAGCTTTTGAGTGGCTGAACAATTAATTTTGTTTAAAATACTGACAGGAATCCAGTCTATATTGCATATATTAAAATAGTGAATACTTTATAAAAGTTTATTTGAACATTTTAAATTTTGTTATTAAATATATAGTATGTTTTAAGATATTACCAATACATAATTAAAGATGACTACCTAAAGCATTTTGATTAAGGAAAACTATACATGGTCTGTGTACCACCATGGATATGCTTTTCAGAGCTGACTCTTATTTTTGAGTGGTTTCTAGTTTAGACAGATGGAGATATTGACAACACAACGAAAAGTAAGATAGACCATTTTAAAAATGAGCATTAAAATAAAAGTATGGTAACCAAACCAGCTAGATATCAAATTTAGTCACCGTGGTTTCAGCCATGTTTAGATATAGCTAGAACATTGGTAGTTTTAATTTAACAGACATGTATTTGAATGAAGAGGAGCTACTTCATGAGCAAAAAGTCAACCTAAGGGAAAGGTGAATCCCAAAAGCATAGATTCAAATAATAACAATATCTCAGGGAGCAAAAGGAAGTAGTGATTTTTGAGCCTATAAATTCAGTTACTTCTGGCACAGCTCCAGTGGTTGAATTTCTAATTTTTAAAGGAAAGAGATTCAAAGAAAATCTAATGAACTCTTTAATCCAAAGTCTCTGTAACACATGGGAGGACAAGGTAGCACTACTTTGGCACTTGATTAACAGAATGTGACACAGTAGTAGAAAAATATTCTCCCTACATTAGACAAATAGCTTCTGAGCAGTTTCACAATGGGAGAGGATGGCAGCAATGGAACAAGCTCGAAATCAGGCATCTGCTCCGGTGTCAGCATCAGCATAGACTCCAGAAAAGAGAAGCATCCAATGGAAGGTAATTGATCAGAATAGCAATCAGACAGCAATGACATTCTTCAGGCACCCTGGAAATTGCACTAGAGCAAGAGATGGCCAGTCATGAGATGAAAACTCCCTTTGGAATATGCTCTCAGAGCAAGAAAATAATCCCTGTGGAATACACATGTGTTTATGATATACACCAGGATTGGGGTAAGGCTGCGATCTGGTAAACATGTGGAGTGATAATAGGAAGTGAAGAACGTTTGCTGGGAATTGTTCAAGCAGAGATGCACTTGTGTTCTCCCACACAAGTGGAAAGGGAGAGGGGATGATGAAGAGGATATAGAACAGATTCTTTGAAGAATGTGCCAGTCTTCCACTGATCTCACTGATGGCAGTTTGTGTCTCTTTATGGATTATGGAATGCTTGCATGATGAAGTACAAGGAATAATGAAAAAATTATAGGAGTCCAGAGTTTGGTAATGAGATGTCCAATAATTTTTGCATATGGAAAGGTTTTTTAGAACTATTTGTACGTTGGCCATTTTGTTTTCACCTCAAGCTTATTGTAAAGATAGCAAGGTAAAAGAAAGTTTTTTGTTTTGTTTTTTTATTTTTTGTTTTGTTGATAAATATGAGTAAAGTTAAGGTTGGGTTGTTATCTTCTAAAGAAATGCTTACAGGAATTAAGACTAAAGTTTGTGAGGCTACTAAATTTTTCCGACTTCCAGTTCAACACTCTGACCCTTACGACTTTATCTGAGTACTGGGACAGAGTATAGATTTGAGTAATGTCCCAGGATATCCCTTTCATAAGAACCCAACTGAGATTATTTCAAATTTATATTAATGGAGGTCAGCTGGTGAACCAAAGATCCATCCTAAACTCACTGGTTTTGTATTTCAGACCATTCCTTTTGCAAAATGTGGCATTCAAATTGTTTATTTCTTTTAAAACACAGTTATTAAAGGAGATTCTGACATAAAACAGTTCTTTAGACATACGTTGATGTTATAAGGATAAGTGGTTCCAAATATGAGCATTTAGTTTCCTTGTAGGATACACAGTTTGAAAAATGCTCATTTGAGGATTTATCAGAGTCTAAACGTTGATATCATTTGGAGATGTTAGCAAGAATCCAACTTTGGTTTTTCTCCTATAAACCCACAGCAATGACTGTTTAACCCAAAACACCTGTGATGAAACTGATGCACAAATTATCTTTCATTCATTCAGAGAAAGACTTTCAGAGAAAGACTTCCAGCATCCTTTATAGACTACTTCATGGAATACAAATCAGTTCATTATTTTTCATTCACATATCTACTTGATCTTCACTTATTTTCAACCTGCGGTTAACTTTGGTTCTGATACTTTTCAATTACAGATTCTGTTACTCTAAATTATACTGAAATTTTACTCTTTTTGGAAAGGGATGATTTAAAACGTCCAGAACTTGCTACCCAGCATATAGACTAAATCATGTTTACATGAAATTTTAAGAAATGTAG